GTTCAAGTTTTCCGGGATGGGCCTGGAAACGGGTTCAAGTTATGCCAGGCGAGGTTTAGATTGGATATTAGGAAAAAAATTTTCACAGAAAGGGTTATCAGACATGGGAACAGGCTGCCCAGGGAGGTGGTGGATTCTCCAACCCTGGAGGTGTTTAAAAAAAGGGCAGACGTGGTGCTTGGGCATATGGTTTAGAAGTGGTTTTATCAAGTTAAGTTAATGGCTGGACTTGATGATCTGAAAGGTCCCTTCCAACCTCAGCAATTCTATGATTTTGTGATGATTCTATGACGCCGTGGGTCTGCAGGGCAGAGGGTGCAACCCAGCGGCATCCCAGTGGCAGTGCGAGGAGAGGGGCTGCAAACATGCACCGGCGCAGGAGGTCCCGCTCCATCCGCAGCCCGTGCATGGAGGGAGGCCACGAGCAGCACTGCGGGGACCCCGCTCCGTGGGCACTGGCTCCCCCCATAGCGACTCATCCCCATGCTGACAGCACCGGAGCTGTGAAATCCTGCCCTCCCGGGCCTTCGAGCAGCAAGGAGGTAGATACTCATGGTGATCTTAGCGTATGGTAGGGTGAGGGACAGCTTGGTGTTTTTGGGGACGACCTGAGAAGCACTTTGATGCACTTGTGCCACGCTCACGCCTGGGTGCGGGGGGGTTCACAGTGTACCAGAGGGAGGGAGGGGGTGCATGTCCTTCCCACCCCGTGCCGGCGGCATGGCCGAGAGACCAGCTGTGTCCTTCCTCAGCTGAGTTTTCTCTGTGCCTTGGCCAGCTGGAAGCCAGCGGGGAGAAGAGGATGTGGGGATGGGAGCAGCCCGATCCCAAGCAGGAGTGTGCGGGAATGAGCTGCTCTCAGGTGGGAGCTGTGGCTACGGGTCAGCCTTTCAGTGACAAAGGTGTCTCAGGGAGGGACCCACCATCGGGCCACGGACCCACCATCAGGCCACGGACCCACCATCGGGCCATGGACCCACCATCCCCGTGGCAGCGGCAGTGGCACTGCAGAGCCAGTCCCCGGGCACCAAAAGCTGCAAGTTGCCTGATCCCAGTGGTTTTCCACCCGTTTTGGCTCCCCGGAGGATGCCGGTGCTGGCATTGATTCTCTCCCCATCAGCAGCGCCGTCTCTTCTTGCACCAGCCCAGAGCCCTCGTGATGCTCAGGGAACGGCAGCGAGCGCCTGTTATGGCAACGACATGCGCCAAATTAACCAGCAGCACCGAGCACGCCCCGCCGGTGGAAATGAGGCACCGGTTCCCCTCGTGCGCGGTGAGGTGCTGGCACGGCCACCGGCGCTCTGCCCACACCCTGTGCCGCCGGCACGCTGGTGCCGGGAGCGGGAGCCGCAGGCCGCC